TATTTCAGTGCAAGAGGCACTGACTGGTACTAACCGTACTCTATGGCGGCTTTGAGCAATGCTTCAGCGTGAGTCGAGCCGAACGCATTACGAACAAATCGTCTCCTTCGACGAAGATCATCTTCCCAGTAATCCAAACGCCAGAAATCATGCAATTGGCTAAAAGTGAGAAAGTAAAGAAGCGGTAATCACTATTAATAACAATGTGTAACTGAAAATATACTTTTTTGTGTGTATAAAATTAAAGCTTTATTTCTTTGGTCTCAATGGAAAATTAAGGAAATTTTTGAGATATTTGTATTTTACAGTTATGTTTGTCTTCATATGTTTTTCTCTACAAATGAATAAAACTGCAAATAGTAACGTTCTCCTATTTTAAGCATTATAACACTCAGCTCTTTCTGCCTCACAGTGTCCTTCCTTCTCCTGAAAACATTAATAATGGAGAGTTTAGTAACAAATGCAGCATCAAATGGTAAGTATTAATGGCACAGTTTGTATTCTTTCATACTGTTTGTAACAAGGCTTGTAAATCACAGGCCAGACCTCACCACCAATAGTTTGCAATTTAATGACCACAGCTTCTTAGTGGACTGAAATAAGAACGATAAAATATCGCTCACTAGGATTTGGTGGAACAATGATTAAAATAATGTGCTGAAATATTCATTGAAATAATTCCCTGCTGCCTACAGCGACCTGAGAAAAGTGCAATTTTATCCATTATTAATAATACTAAATTAGAGCTGCAAAAAATTCCAGTATGTAGTAATTGTCTTGGTAAATTATTATTCTAACACTAGCAGAGCTCTTGGATGATTTTACAGGTTTTAGCTAATATAAACAACTAACAATCATGGCCCTCATCAGGTAATACTGGCTAAACCATCTTGTACTCTGACCCAAAATTAAAAATCCACAGGATACTTCAGAAAATACTGAAATACATTCACTCTGTGTCACTGAAACATTTCATGACATCATATTCTGTTTTCAATTTATTTTTAATACACACTGCTTTTTAAATGCCACTGCTTGAGAAGTCTGTTTTCCCATAGACAGTATTTGGAGTAATAAACTCAACTGATAACATTTTGATTTTCCCAAGCAGCACTATTCATAAAAACAAATAAAATGCTTTCATAGAAGATGTGATATTTTTGTTTTGGTATTTTATTACAGAAGAATACAGTGTTTGATTAAGTCAGGAACTGTTTATGTTTTACTCATCATTGTATCTCTAGCACAATGGCTGGCTGAATGTAAAAGGATAAAAAAGATACATCATCAAACATTAATCAAAAGAAAGTGAGAAGAGTTATACTAATATCAGATAAACACATTCTCTAGAGGACATAAAATTACTGGAGGCAAAGAAGGAATTTCTTTAAGGACAGAAGGGTCCATCTACCAGGACACCCATCCGTCATGTGCATGCACCAAACAACACGGCTGCAAAATCTATCAAGTGGAAACTGATAGAACTTTAAGGAGAAACACATAAAGGTACAGCTATCAGGTGTGTTTATACCCCCAAATGAGAAACAAACCAGATTTCCTTCAGTAGGTAAATGGTTAAATAAAGGTGGGACATTCATACCATGGACTACTACTCAGCAGTAACATGGAACAAACTATTAATACACACAACCCGGATGTATCGCCACAGAATTACACAATCAGAAAAACACAATCCACAAAGGTTACATACATGATGATTCCATTTACATAACACTCTTGATAATGACAAAATTGTATAAATGAAGAAGCGATCAGTGCCTATCAGGAGTGGAGGAAACATGAAGTCAGGAGGAGGTGGTGGTCACTGTAAAGGAGCAACATGAGGGATCCTTCAGACAATAGAGAGGCTCTGTGTCTTGACTGTATCAACATCCTAGTTGTAACTATATTACGGTTTTGCAAGATGTTATGACTGGTGGAAACTGCGTAAATGGTACATGGGATCCCTCTCTGTCAAACTACATGTGAATCTACAATTATCTTAAAGTTCAATTGTAAAAATGTCCTCATCATATCAAGACTTCTATATACAGATGAATTTTCTATATACTCACAAATACAGTGTAATACAAATTTATTTTATTACTTTCTAAATTCGGTATCCTATACTTCCATCACATTTATTTACTTTTCTTGATGAAAAACAAACTTTTCCTCCCCTAGTTCTGTTCCCAAACAATTCTGCATAAAGAAAAATATTGGACGCCTACTCTTAGGGTTAATTTCTGTCTCAATTTGGGAAGCGTCATGTACCAAGGTTCAGTCAACCAGCAAAATTTATGGGCACCCTGGTTGAGAATATTGCCTCTGAGATAACTGAGATGTGGGATGGTGTTGGAGGGTAAATGGTAAGGAAGGCAGTACTTTTCTCTCTGCTTCTGCAGGAGGATGACGCAAATGGGAGCAGCGTCCGGTTCTGAGAGCCAGCCACTCCCTTCTGTACTGGACAGTCACATAAGCACCTAACAGCTACTGACCAAGCTCAAGGAATAAATGACAAAGTAAATTTGCATCTCAGTGGAAGTCACTCTTCCCTCTAATACAACAAACTAGTTTAAATTATGATTTTGAAATACTACCTTCTACCAAGTATGCTTTTTAAAAAATCACTATTATTCATGTAAAAAATATATCAATATCCTATTCAAAGGTCTTTTCTGTGTTTTGTTCTATTTTAAATTATATTTCTCCTTTACCTTTTTAGACAGGAAAAGGTCCTTGTGTAAATTAAACAAGTAAATAAAACACTTCTTGGTCGACATATAAAATGAAACTTAAGTACAAGTAACAATGAAATATATTCATCTGAGGTTTCTAACATTCAAAATCCATCCTCCTGTCATTTTTTTCTTTATTTTTGCAGGGTTTTGGAAAATTTGGATTTTTTCCCTGATTTGTTCCTCTGGTATTTTTCCCACTATCTATGTGGAAATTATTTTAGATTAATGAGGGTCAGTCTTTGACCATATTTGTGGTTTCAGTATTTGAACACATATAAACTCTTCTGAAGAACCTTCTAAACCCATGTGAAACCTTTATAAGGTTGTATATCAGTGATAATTTAATGAAAGAAAAGAATATTTGGACCCAAGTTGCTACACCCTTCTTACTTTGGAGACAGTGAACCGAGTATAGATGAAGAAACAATAGGTACTGAGAGTTCTGCTTCCATTGTATCATGCTCTAAAATTACTAGTAGTCCCAAGAATACGCCAATCCGAAGAATCCATTTCCTAAACTGTTGGGCACAAGGCCTCTGAACCTAGTGTGCCCACAATCCCTTCCCTGCCGTCCTTGTCCCAAATCCACTACAGGGTGGCAGGAAGTGGTCTTCCAGCCTCTTTATGTCTCTTCACGTCTCTCTTCTCCTTTCCCTTCCCCCTACAAACGTAATAGCAAGGGGGGCTCTTTTTTCTTTCTTTTTTTTTGATTTATAATTACTTAGTGAGAGAGGGTCAACATGAACAAGAAAAATACCTGTTTGACAGACGCTGCATTCTGAAAAGTCTGAAAACTCTAGCAAATGAGGTCCCTAGAAATGTGGAGATGATACTAATCCAAAAAAGCTCTTCCATGAGAAACCAGTGTAGACCTCTCTGGGCACTGGCCTCATATCATCTGGAAGAAGCCATGTTCCTAGAGGGTGTGGGAGAAGGCGGAGGGCAGAAAACAGGACAAAGGCAGGGGGCGGCTGGGACTAGAGGACGTTCGTTAGAGGTTGGTTATATGGGCTAACCGCATACTCTGTAGGGAAAGTAAAGTGGTATTTTGCACCTGCTGTGGACTCCTGGGTCAGTGCAGAGGAAAACTGTCTTTACCCTTCCCACTGAAATTCATGAATATACTAGCCCATAGAATCTTTAACTAAATTCCTCCTCTATCACTCAATTTCTATTTCAGTGTAATAAGATATACTTTGTCATATTCTGTAACATGTGAGTCACTGCAGAAAAGAACAGTAGAGATTACACCAGTAAGTTTTTTAGAGCATCCCTAAATGTGATTGTTGTTAATAATTTGTATAGCATGATCAAAAAACCCTGTTCTGTGATAATGCTTATTTAGGTGAGCATAATTTGAGTGCTCTGAGAGTTTTCATTTATACCTAAGTTAGGTTTATAAGCACTTGTTTTCCCAAAGGAGGGATAACAGATTTTCCACACTTGGAGAGCAGCCAGGTGAACATATGCAGCAGCCATGTGCTATCATCTCCACAGTTACACACACACAGCCATGCTGCACAGCAGTTCTGCTCGGATTTCCTAGTGTGCAGCAGTTATAATCTCATGCTCAATACCTCTAATGATGTCAACCAGGAGGGTGCATGTGATATCATATGTATTATTTTTATTTATTTTGGCTTTTATAGCTTTGTTTTTGATTCTCATGACTGAATTTTAGAGACACTGGGTGCCATATGCATGTTTTTTTCACAAGCGTGGTTTTACAAGTACAGTGAATAATTGTTGGAAAAGAGTAGGTAAACAGTCAGTAATTAATGAAGAGAAGATCCGTAGTTAGGTTGTATTATGATAATTAATGTTACTATAATTAATTATATGCATTATGATAATTAATGTTAACTATAATGGTGTTCATTAAGTGGAATTAGGTTTTATTTGAACATAATTAGATTTCAGGAAATTGTAGTTTTTCTCCATGAAATTTTAGACTTATGAGAATGCACTCAGGTTTCTTAGAAGGGCCCCTTCTTCCCCTCTCAGGAATGGGTCACCTTCATAAGATAGGGGGAAGACTGAGTCACCTAATAAAGCATGCCTGAACTGTTAATTGGTTATTTTTATTTGGAAACAAAAACCATTCAATGGGAAAAGAAAAGAGTGAAAAGAACAAAGGAGTATTTTGCTAAACACACACAAAAAATTACAGTGAGAAGTTGGACTTCTACTTAGCTGAAGAACTGGCTGTACTCACTGAGGTCAGGACGTCTGTGCATGACTTCTAATGTGACCAAGGCTGAATAAAAACACAAATGCTAAACGACAGACCAACAGTTAAAAAACTATTATCCTCTCGTCTGGACACAGTGTAGATTGTACTTCTCCATCTGTTTTGAAAAAGGCATGCCTAGGGGACTTCCCTCTGCCAATATTTTAAAAAAAAGTTATATAAAGTTT